AATTTTCATATGTTGAGCAACACATTTATGTGAAATTATCCAACAACATTTCTTGGGTTAATTAACTAGATTACTAGTCATATATAAAGTACACTTAGAAACCAGTGTTATAAACTAATAATTGGTGGTGGATTACATCAAGAATAATATCTAGATTACAACAAAGAATGTGAAATTCAGTCAGGATGATACATTCACCTTTTGTTTTAATGAGCTGTATAGAAAATTAGGAAAATGATATTTTGGTGTTGATTAAGGACAAAGAACAGGCAACTTTTGAAAACTTTTCGATAGTATTTCTCTACGATGAAAGAAGGTAGCCCAGAGAATTTAAGAGTGAAGAAAAGCAATATAAATAAGTATGACATTAGAGTATATTAATTTAGGTATGTCGAGATAGCCTTAAACAGAAGCGACCATAGAACTACAAGTTAACATATTTAAGGTTTAAACATTTAAGATAATTAGAATGTAAGGCTAGAAAGTTAGAACTTTTTAATAAGTTATTTCCTGTCATTTGAGTTTAAGACTTATTATAAATTGAGTTTGCAATTATGAGTAAAGGTTCACAGAGAATTTTAATTTACCCAAAAATATACACAGTTTACTGCATATTAACTTGGTTTGAATAGTGGAAGACTTATAAGTAAGTCTGAGTGGTACAATGTTAAGGTTAAAAGTAATAAATATAAGTTTTGTTAGTCAAGATATAGACATGTTTTCAGACAAGCTATTTCTCTTCTGGAGCTAGCATGATGACATGTTTCACACTGTTAGTTTACTTTTCTAGAATAGGCATATGAACATGAAAGAATACACTAGGCTCTAAACCATTAATTTAAGTGGTTGTTCTAAGAGTGAACCTGTCATTTTGTTTGTTATTATTACTTTTTATGTAATGCAATACTTCACACCACATGGATTTCTCAATGCATATTTTATACTTCCAAAATGATTGCTTTAAATATTTAACTTTTCAAAAACCTTACAGTTGTGAAGGGTATCTAAAACAACAGTGCTTAATATCTTCATTAAGTATTCCATATCATCAGCATATTTCATTATCACTGGTATACATAAAGAGCAAGTCTATTCAGAAACACTATTTAAAATATTCTACTCCCCACTACTGTGCCAACTTTCAATCATCATCAGTATACTTATCAATCTTTTAGTTACCAAAGCAAATTTGCTAAATCTCTTATTATCACCCAAATATATTACAGGGTTTCTCAAACTTTTTCACTCTGGAATCCCTTTTTGTGAGGATGAACATTCAAGACCTCCCCCCTTATGTCAGGTAAATACAGAATAACAAAGAATAAGTACTGTTAGAAATAAATAAAACACTAGTACAACAGTAGTTCTACACAGACATTTTATTTTTAAATGATTCCATAACTTTCAAATAAATCACAAATCATAAAAGCAGGCATACATTGAATCCTAGAATTCACAGTCTGTGTCCTTTTGTCTCAAAAAGTTATTCTGTACTTTGATATCATGAGTGTACTATAACAGGGGTAGTCAAATGTTAATATTTGGCAAAAAAAAAAAAATATATAGTAGCCCAAGAGATAGAGGTAAGTGTTATTGACCAGCTGCCTTATCTCAAAATTACAGAAGGCTGTATACATGAAAATCTGAAATAACTAAAGTAAAGAAAAGAAAGATGCATTCCTTTAGCACAACCAGACAGCAAAAACATTGAGAGGACGAATTCTTTTCTGAATATATTTGTATCTCCAAAAATAAAAAAACACCTTCAGATAGATATTTGTTGCATCTTTTCAACTCCTTTGCAACCCCTCTATGGAGCCTCTTGTGACCCACAGTTTGACAACAGTTGATCCAATAATATCAAAATCTTGTAAAAAAAACTTTATAAAACTAGTCACTATTTCAACTGAAAAGCAATTTTCAAATACTTTTGAATTACCTAGATAAACACTAACAATAACTTCCAAATTCCTGTTTATAATAGACAAGACTGTATAATTACACATTTCATACAAATACTTATTGTTAGTTTTAATTATTTTCTACATCAAAATGCCATATTTACACTTAGAAACACATGAACCTTGTAAACATTTTTTCTGTGTGACATGTTACAAACAAAACACTACAAGTACACTACATAAAGGCTATTGTCTTATACTTTATCTGTAATACTCATGACATAATGCAACCATTATTATATTATACAATATCCTTGAGATCTTAATAACATGTGATATTACTATAGGTGGGTACTAGAATCACCAACTGCTTAAAGAAACCCAACACCTGAGCATTTCTGGAGGGCCCACTTTTCAAAAGCTCTCAAGTTGTCAGATTGCTTTGTTTTACCTTTTCATGATTCTGGGTATTCTTTAAGTATCATAAACAAAGATATAAAGCTTATATGTAATAATATTTCAAGCAACTTGAGTAACACAAAGGCTGGATTGTATACTACCGATCAAGAATTAAGTTTAAATCAATAAGTATTCCTTGTAAATGAAATACAGTGTTATTACTGAAAATGCAAGAGAATTAAAGCAAGTAAAAGCCACAATGGAAATAAAAATTTTTGCTATTTCATAATATATAAAAGGTAATTCTTATTGTTCCATATAAACAGAAAAAAAAAGGAGGCAGGTCACTCAGCCCACCTACTGTAAATAAAATAATAAAACCTGCTTCTTCTAATTTAATTTCCAATTCAATTTAAACATAGATTTTCATATCCACTTATCCAACAATACTTTAATAAAACAATTCCAATTAATTCCACATGTATACTACATCAAACAAATTCCTCCATAAATTTGTAATTCTAACTGAAAATTTTATCAAAGAACAAGCCTGAATTTATGATACTAAAGCTTAAACATATTTTCAACCTTCTACTTCTAACATTGGCAGAACTCGTGGGAAGTCTAAACCCCTAGCAATTTTGAGCACATGAATCAATTACTAACTGGTCCTTCTTTACTACAGAGAAAAATTCAAATCTTTAAGCTCTTCTCACAGCTTAAATAATTTAAATCAACAATCATTCTACTAGTTTGTTTGATCTTTCCAACACATTGATGTAATTCTTATAATAAATAGGAGTAAAACCACAAAGAGTACTCCAAATGAGATTTCACCAGTTTTATGTATATATAAAAAAAGAAATATAATATATAAACACCAAGGGATCACTTTGAACTTCAAGGTTGTTCTCACATACACCGTCTAGTATAAATCTGAACTAATCCTTAATTTCTCAAGAAATATTTGATCCCTCTCATAAACTCCTGTAAAGTGCTTGTCTCCACTGCTGCTGATAGCAACTTGTTCCATAAAACAATCAACGTATTAGAATATAAAAAATATCTTAACTGAAACCTATCTTATCTTTTAGAAATCTTAAACTTCTTTCTATCATCCTATTATCTTCAGAATATAGATAGATGCCTTTATCTTATTAATCCTCGATATCATGTTGTAAACTTCATTAAGATCAATCTATACCCTTCTTTTCTTAAGAAAAAATTAGATATCCTCATCTAGCCCTGTATAACAACCCTTCCATCCATGGGATCATACTAGCATCCTCCTCTGAACCATTTCCCAAAAAAGAAATCTCTTTTCCCTTTCTTAGATGAAACCAAAGCTGTATACAGTTTTTGAAGTGAAACCAAACTAGCGAGTTATTTATAGAGATAATTACATTTTTTACTTGTAATCAATAAGTCTATAAAAACACCATAAAATTATGTCATCTTTACTACTAGCAATAGGCACTACTTCAACATCTTCAGTGACTTTTCCATCACTAAGCCAAGATTCTGTTCTTCTGTGACAGAACTGAAAAGGTTTCTATCTTTTAAATCATAAGTGTGTGATCTAAATAACGACAGCCCAAATGCATTACTTCACACCTACTATGAAGGTGACTTGCCAAATATTTGTCCAACATATCACTCAATCCAAGTCATACTTCAACATCCTCAATACAACTAGAAATATCTCAGAGCTTAATGTTATCAGCAAATATTTAATTTACTGATTATGCCTTTATCAGTATCATTAATGTAAATAACAAAAAGCAAGAATCCAAGCATTGACCCCTGAGGCACTCCACTAGTAAGTAGGGTCCAGTATGATTGTATTTATCAATGTATCACAATCAATAATGAGCTTTTGCTTTCTCTCATCTAAGAACTCCATAAATAAATTAACTAGTTTCCCTGACCCTTGTGTAATTTTCTTTAGCTAACTTTTGTGTAGCACCTTATAGAAAGCTTTCTAAAAATTTAAGTATACCAATCCATCATTCAGATGAAAAGTAACACCCTAGGAAAAAGGTAACAAATTAGTAATTCAATATTTCCCTTTGGTGAATCCATGTTGGCTTCCTTATTTAAAATTTCTACAAACAAAACAAGAACTAATTGCTCTTTTCACCACAGCTAAATGATTAGCAGACAGTTTTATTAAAAATAACATCTAAATCTTACATTCTTTCCAGATTTGACTATCAACATCCAAATTATTAACACAAATAATAAACAAAGGTCTCAAACAGGCCTCTGTGGATTCTATTAGTCAGAAGATTGCAGTTTACTGCCACTCTTGGCTTCCTACCACATTAAAAACCAATTTTCTAATCACTCTTTTCTACTAATCCCATAAGCATCTATCTTACTTACTAATTTCTTGTGATACCTTATTAAATGCTTTTTGAAAATCAAGGTGACATCAATCAATCAAGACGTCCTAAGGAATAGTGGTAAAAAGAAAAAGCTAACCAAAACACATCAAATATATATTTAACTTTTAAGTTTACGTACAAGTTTATAAATAAAAAAATACAATTCCAGTTTGTTTCAGATATTCATGTTTAACACAAATTGGTATTACCAGTTTGGGAGATATGGGCTGAATGACCTATTCCTTCTTTGCCCACTTCATACTCTTAAAAATTTCGAATTCAACAGAAAAATATTTTAACTTAAATTACTTACCTTAGCTGATGCTTTTTTGTATCTGGTGATAGCAAGCTTCATAAGATCCCTTACCAGAATATTTCCATCTCCACAGGGTACTATGACACCAACATCTCCAAAGTTCACAGTCACTTTCATTTTATTTTTCTTCAACTTTCAAGCTAACCTTGTAGTTCTAAAACAACTATTGTCATTACATAGCCAAATATTGAGTCGTTTAAAATACAAATACTTTTATTTTATATTACAACTTAATGTGATAATTCGTTCAAGTGAACAACTGTTATATAGAATTAATTACTACTACTAGTACTAACACCTATTAAAATATTTTACTAAGCTTTATATGCTGATTGTTGTTGTATGATGCATAACAAAACAGAAATAGCAGAATACTTCTAAACTCTAGCTAGCACCATCATTTAGTTTCCATGATCAAAAGATAATTCGGACCTAGCAATCCACGTCTTTATAGCTTTACACATCACGTTTCAACATCTCTCACTCTCAGCTATTCCGGAGCCTGAGTGATGGTTTTGGATAAGTCAGTTATATACTAGAATAAGAAATCTTGAGAATTCTTAATCACAGTCATATGTATCTTACGTTCTCCAGGTACAGGAAAGTCCGAATCCAAGCTCCTTCCGTTTTTTCTTCATGATCTTTAAAACATTTAATTCATATTAATTTTCTTGGAGAAGTTATTTTGAATCTTTCCTTAGAATAAATCCAAGTAGGAGCTGTGCTTCTTAAGCAAGCTTGTTTGTAACGTTAGTGATTCTACTATTAATGATATGCTATTTTAATCCTTCAGGTTGATAACAGCCAATAAATAACCGTTAAATCTTAGCACACCTGGCATGGAACGGGGATTTCCTTACGAGTTGCCGTCATCGGCCATCAGGCCTTCCATCTTCACTCTTACCCGTTGGTTTTCAGACAAAGGTTGTTGTTTGAACATCAAAACCTCTTAGTGTCTATCACACAAAATCATGTTTTTTCACACCAAAAAATTTACAGTAACACTAAAAATAATTTCCTTTTGTTTCCCAAGGCAGGTAAATAAAAAATAGTAATAAATGAAAATATTTTTTGTCAGTAATGGAACAATAAATAACACATAAAATAAAACCACGCTTAACACGGACGGTTAGCCGTCTAGTAAACGCGCCTGACCTCACGAAACAGGCTATTGGTGTTTCAAACGACGCTTGATTGGCTAGCAGACGACGAACCAGTTAATAATCTGGCACAATAGACGTCGCATAAATACAGCAGTAAGAAAAAGTAGTGTTTTTGTTTGTATTTTTTAAATTTGAAATGAGTACCAGGAGTTAGCAAAAAAAATTACGAAAATGTAATTGATTGATTGAAATAAATACTTATGCAAAGCAAAAATCAAAATATTAAAAACATGGTATTAAAAAACAAACAAGGACATTTAACAAACAAATACCAATTAGTAATACTTGGAAACGGCTTGAATGGGTAATGAAGAAAAACTTTAATATAAGTTTGACATAACAGCAAATGTACAACGTTTCTACAAGGTTTTGTCATCATCAAAGTGGGTTCCTCGTTATCGAAATAGCAATTAGCTTGCAATGAAAAAACAGTAAAAGATATGTTGGTGTGTTGTTAAACACAATGAGCTTTCTGTGCCAACCCATTGCAGGAAACGAACTATGAATACTAGTGTTATAAGCTCTCAAGCTAACCGCTGAGTCACCAGGGGCCGATAGTGAAATAACATTACAAAAGCGAACTGACAGAAGACACTGCGATTATCCACTCCAATTTTCACCCACAAAAGCAAAAAACGTGGAAAACCATTCTGTGCACTTGGGACAGTAATCCACCCACCTACAAAAAACAAACAAAACACCAAACATAAATTAAATATACTCAATGGCGTAAATATGTCCCCGCAGCCCCCAGAATTAGGGTGGTGGGGAGCCGTAGGGTGGCCAAAATAGTCTGACAAACTTAAGAATTGCCAACAAGAGGAACAAATGTAAGGGGGCCAAAATACATTTTATGTGGGGGATGAGGATTCTTTTATAGTTACGCCACTGAATATACCCCTTGACATTCACGTAGGTATCGAACAAAGGTTAGAATATTTTAATTTAAGTGCTCATGCCATATCGTCAGGAAAATTATAGGTGCTTATAATTCTAAGAAATGTCTTAACAAACGACAAACTACAAGATACACAAAATAAACCCCAAGAAGTGCCTGTATCCGAAAAATGAGAATATACTTATCATTTTAATTTTTTTTAAATCATCATATTAATATTCTTTTTTTTTTAATTTTCCATCACTCCTTTATGAGTGAAATTTTCCAATTAATATCTGAGAGGAAATCTTATTAAAAACTTCCAGAAAGTCCAAATATGCTTAAATGATAATTTATTTCCAAGTATTCTCCAAAATGATTTCTTACAGACTTAAATAATTTGCTAGTAAAAAAAAAGTTAAATTCATAAAAGTAGGCCTATAATATTTTTCAGTCTTTCCTTAACCTCTTCTGAATTTTTTTTTTCCATTACTAATTTCCCCATTATAGAATATTTTTCCAATGTAAAATAACTTTTGAAAGGTAGTTGTTCAAACCCCTAAGCTTCTTCAAACTTTTAGGATAATTTCGCCACAATTGGAGCTTTGTTCTCAAAATATGTTTCATTTTCCCAAAAACGTTTTCTTCAAGAAAAATTTAATCTAAGAAAAGAAGCATTTCCATTCTATTAATACATTTCATATTCTTATAAGCTTGGCGTTTTTCATGTATTTACCATTTAACTTTTCTATTCATCCATTTAGAAAAGCGCTTAGGATTGAACCCCGGTTATGTGTACTTATAGTTAAATAAAAAGCTACACAAGAGGCTATCTGTGCTGTGCCCACCAGGGGGTATCGAAACCTGAATTTTAACATTATAGTCCACAGGCACACAGCTAAGCCAATTGAGAGTTGAACTCCATTAATGTGGAGGAAAGCATTCATTTTAGTTAGATTGATCAAACCAATACAAAATTTTCAAGCTTCATTAATAGTTTTCTTAATTAATGTAAATGGGTATCTCAATCATTCTCTAACGTAATTTTGACGTTGAAAAAGCTGTATATAATTTTGTAGAGTGAGCAAATGATAAGCTGCGACAACTTGGAATTTGTGAACTTGAAATACAGGCCATTCTGCATGAAAGGAGGGCATGGAAGAAGAAGAAAACCATGGCAGGCGAGTCCTCTCATGATGAACAAATATCGGATACTATTACAGCCTATAGGATTCAAGTCCGCAAAATAAGTATTGACACAATTAATGAGAACATGCGTCGCCATTTTTTCTCCAGTGGGTCACTTTATGTCGACCTTGCTTGTCTGGACCTTAGTGACTTTTCTGATATAAGAGGTTATGGGTTTCAGACACAACCTCTAGAAGAATTAAGTAGACGCTTGTTCAAGTGGGATGAGAGAGACCCACAGTGGAAAATTTCCTACATGATTAATCAGTCTAACTTTGCATTGGGACAAGCTGAATAGATCAGCATCAGAAAAATACATGGCCATCGTGGCAAAATAAACATCTAGGGAAGACAATAGTAAGGTATGCGACGAGGGTAGAAATGGAACTGGTGGATAAGTCGTGCTCTACAGGTAAGAACTGTGTTATTTGTTGCTATCAGGTTCTGTGGCGATAAATTTTTTGAATGATGCCTATAATGTGTTTGGCCTGGCCTAGACGTTTTTATTGAGAGAGAAGTTTCATCTTGAAGTTTGTCAGAAGCCAACTGAGAAGCAGTGCATCCCAGGAGAACTGTTAGTCGTTCGTACTAATGGCAACAGAAAAATACGTTCTTATGAGTCTTGATCTGGACAGAGATGCGGAAAGGAGAGAACTCCTACGAACTCTGTTTATTTCGTAAAGCAGTTCACCAATATTTTCTTACTTGTGTGGCTTCCTGGTTATAAGAATGTACGTGGCCTTACAGTTCGGTCAGAATAGAGGTGTACCCATAAAACGATTGATTTATTGAACTTATTAATCTGAATAATGAAGAGGCCTTATTTAAGGCCTATTAATTTGTTTCAGTAATAATGAAAGATCCCAGTTTTTCACGATAAAAAACATAAGATTCTCTGACAAAAAAACAACAAAAACAAATCCGTTTTTTGTGATTAAAATCAAACGTTAAAACTGAATCTTCCCAGACACATTACATATATATATATCAGTTAAATGCAATGTTTATATTCACACATTTACTACTTTTAAACAAGTCGGAGGTATACCACACCATCAACTAGTAAATCAAATCTAAATAAATGAACTTACATAAATACATTGAAATAACTAAATGATCTCATTGTAAATTGTATTCGAAGTAGATCTATGTGTAACTTTCTTTAGAGCAAACATTTGCGGTACAAGAAAATAGTTTGGTTTTAGTTCACTCTCTGTAATTCTTCTGTAATCCAAAAGTCGCGTTTTTAAGCACAAAAAAATCGAAATCTGTATAAACAGTTTATTAAAGTAAGAATTAAAGCCTTTGCAGCAATAAAGTACAAGATAGAAGAGACACTGGTGCTTACAAACAAACATTTAAAACGAATTCGGTCAGTGTATTTCATAGATGTTCTTTATTTCTACAAATTCTGCATGCTTCCGTGGTAATGAATAGAGGCGCCACAACCTCAATGTAGGCCAGATGTGTATTAAAATGCCAGGGCCGATTTTTAGACCCAATCCTTCACTGATTCACGAAAACAAACTTTGGTTTGTATAATCTTTCTTTCTAGATTTTGAACTTTAGGTTGGTTATTTGTACTTACGTTTTCATCCTTGTTGTCACTAGAAATTCAACCTCTGATAGTGTAACTGTCATATACTAAGAATGTTTGACTCACTGTGTTTTTACATGAAGTATGTTTCCAATATAAACTCTTCCTCGATGTCAATTACTCAATTACATGTTGATGGTTTCTAACTTGCTTCTTGCTGAAACTTTATGACTACTTAGTGTTCACTTCCCTCTCTACACCCCATACCCATCCACACACACACACAAATAATATCGTTTTTGAAAGGGTACTGTACTTTCTACTACTGCTACTATTGCAGTTAGAAATTAAATGAAATTAAGGTAAACGTGTACACATTACTCTTTACTACTATACGCCCCTACATCTACAGTGCACGTTTTTCAGTTTTACTGGCATGTTCACTATTTACAATTAATCATGGTTAATGTAGTGAAATTCCCGATTGATTAGCGATGCAACCCCATTAACTGTTACATTTGTCTTACAAAGTTATATTTGTTAGCTTTTACAGCTCATTTAAATGTCATCTTAGTCCTCGAAATCCCATAGAATTCGTTGACAGCTGGGAAACCTTAAAGTGGGTTATAAAGGTGCTGGATGGTGTTTTGTTGCATTCTAGTTCACTTACTGACAAGTATAGTTTCCAACTAGTTCATATATGTCAGCAAAGAATTACGATGGTGAATTTCAAGTTAAAGTTAATTCCGATCACAAAGGGATCCAGTAACTGAGTTATCCAAGGAAGAAGGCTGAAGTCAGTATTATGCTCACCAAACCAGTTTCAGATAATACGAGTGTGATGGATTGTAGTATCATCTTGTTAGATTCTCTTTCCACTAGTATAGAAATATAATACTTTGGGGAGGACATGATCGGCAAGAACGTTTAGGTACAGATTTAACGATATTAATCCCTTTCAAAGAATCAAATGACGAAATCCCTACCACAGGAACGTTCCACACATAATCTGTTCTCCAACAATTTAAATTTTCATAAGAAAATCATGGCCAAGTGTCTTATGCATTGTTCTCAATAATTTTATTGTACCATCAGTACAGAAAAAAGTGAAATGTGATTCATCAGGCTATATCTCATTTTCAGACACTCATTGTCCGCAGTTTTGTTCTCTAAACACCATTGAAACCATCCTTTCTTATTTGCATCTGGTATAATCTATATTTTATATGGTTAATGGTTACCACATGAAAGTTTTTTGTAACGTAATTTATATGAA